TAGGACTGAAACAACTACTACAGTACAAGCTGAGTTTGTTGGTCCTGGACAGTAGGAGTAGTGAACCAAAGTTAATGAAAGGTCAAGAGCAGTATTTTACAGAATTCTTTCAATGTAATAGTGTTTAAGAACAAGCACTGAACTACTAAAGAAAGAGTTAGGATAGCTTAATAAATTCAAGTATATTCTGACATAAAATAAGTTAACTGAAGAAATAGAGTGGATCTCAGTTGTTCCTAGGCCATTACTTTGGTATATTTCCATAAAGCCACCATTTGTGGCTTTATAATGTGTTAGGATGTAACAATGGTGATTTATCTTTAGTTGTCCAAGCTGATTGGCAATTTTATTGCATGAAGTGGTTTAATTATCTGTCCAAAAGAATAAAAGACAAATTAAAAATCATAAGAGAGTAGCAGATACTTTTGAAATTAGATTACTTTCACTTCCACAATCTCTGACCCTCTGTCTGTCTTACAAGGTGAAGCTATTGGGTAGATGCTATTGTAAAAGTGAGGGAATGGAAAAGAGTGATATCATACATATCTATTAAATTATTGAAGATTCTGAATTACTTTCTCAATGGAATTTTCTCATGTTCATGGCATGTTTCAACTCTTGAGCTCCACACTGTGCAATAAGTCTTATACAATCACCAGCATGTAAAAATTAATATATTAAACTTAGAGGATGTGTATTATCTTTTAATACAACATAAGATATCTCTTCTTTTTGATACTGTTCACTACTAAATTTCTTTTTTAAGTTATGCATTTATCTTTCAGCTCTGAAGAACTCCATTATAACTGAATTAATACATAATACAGCTGCCATTCATATCTTTTAGTGTACTTCATATTTTTCCTTTCTGACAATTCAGGTTGTATGGCTTGTGGAAAATTACTCTACAGGTGCATATAGAGAGATTGTCTGGGCAAAGAGCCCAAGAGCCCTTTGAACTAAGAGGAAGGAATAGAGAGAGACAATGTGTCAAGGAATGTCTGTACAAGATGACTGAGAAAAGAAACTAAAGGAAGAGGGGGACCTGCTGAGGTTTGATAAGAAGCCCAGGAGCCAGCCTGGGGAACCAGTGATAGTATAGGAGATGAGTTGAGTGAGTGAAAGTGATGATGATGTGGAGACTGAGAGAAATACTTCTAAGAACTTTTGTCCTCAGATAATTGGTTTCCTTTTTTCCAAAGAAATATGGAAGACTGAGTTGGTTGGTTCTGGGATAGAGAATCCCAGAACAATCACAGTCTTGATGTCTGTTCTTCAGAAGGAAAGGATGGCAAGGCATCAGAAAGTAAGGGCACCAGAAAAAAAATAAATCAGGAAGACATAGCTTATCAGGCTCATTCTGTGAATGAAAAGTACACCCAGAAAATGTCCAATAAATAATCCAAACCTATCAGTTGTAAAATCAGCATTTCTTGCAGTTCTTCAGAGAAATTAGGGAGCTTGTACACGTCTCAGGCAGCCCCACAAAACCATAAGTGCAGGGTAGAGGTGATACATTTTTTATGAGAGTTAAAATATTCATGGATAGCAGCTGAGCTAGCCAGAGACAGAAAACTGCTTTCAACTAGAAAACCACCTAGGTAGGAGGGTTAAAAGTCCAGACCACCATATTGTGTCAGCATGCTTGCCATTCACAAGAACCAGGGTCATCCATGCACATGCAGGTGGCTGCAACCAAGCTTCTAATTCAGTGACGGACCATTTTGTCTGATGTCAGAGTCCTTCAGCTGGTTTCTGTGTTGAATTGATTGATAACTTCTTGACGTTAAGCTTAGCACAGTATGTGTGCTTTACGGGTTCTCAGTGGACGTGCCAGCAAATTTGCTAACCACATTTGTGTCAAACTTCTTGCTCTTAGTTTAGTGCTGTCGTGTGGAGGAAGCGAATTCTGGATGGTGGGATATGGCAAGAAATCTTTTGTTTCACTTCAGTTTTAAGCATTTCATTTTTTAAACAAACTAGTCAGGATTGTTTGCCTTTTGTACATGTTATGCACCATAAAAGTTTTCATTGCTTTGAAAGTGATTCAGTGTTTGAGCTTGAAAACACACACAATTTTGTTGTGGGTTTTCATGTCATTGTACTGTCTTGCTAATAAATATTTTAACTCAAGTGCTTATTCTAAATATGAAGTTATTTTTCTGAGCATTATTTTCTGATAGATGGTTATATTGTTGTTGATTCATTGGATAGCCTTAGAAGGAATCTGGGACAGAAATGGATTTCAATGATGCAGGTATTTTAGAAAGAAAACACAGATGTAAACCTAGTTCCGTGCTGTGGCATAGATTCAAATAGCTGTTTTTGTCTGTTCTTTGGCAGTACAAATAAGGAGGAATTCAGGAAGCAGTACCTGTGCATTTAAGGGGTTAACTGAGATGCTAACTATGATGCTACTTAAATAAATCAATGTCTGCTGCTGATTAATATTTTTATTCTTCTCTTGCCATGCTCTGACGAAGACGTGGCTTCATCACGAAGACATCCCTAACTGCTGGTGGCAGTTTTTTGTGGGCTTGCCTTAAGGGTGAGGTTTTTTTACGTGAATTAAAAATAATTAGAACTCTGTCAAAAAGACTAGTTATATAGGTTTGTGGATAAGAGATGAAGTGTTTTTCTTAATTTTTTCTTTAAAAGGTAAGACTTGGGCTTTGCTAAGACCAAGTAATTTCTTAGTATCACATAGTATCAAGGAACTGAAATGCACTCCCTGGTTCAATTCTGTGGCTTGAAGCACCTTTCCATTATGGGGCACCAGCCAGTCCTTTCCTACATCCTTGTTTGCCTAAAAACCTGTGTACCTGCGTACATATGTCCAGGGACATTCCTGAACGACCTGGAACGAGACTAATAGTATTTACATTACAGTATTATCAGTACAGCAAAGAGCTGTACTGATAATATTGCCCTGTATTATGGGCATAAAGTGCTTTTAAATGAAACCATGCAAGAAGAATTTAAAATTCTCTTATGCTATGATTTTAATTAATCGTGTTGCTCTCAATCTTGTGATATTGTCTCCAGAATAAATGATATTAAGCCAATGTAAATAAAATAATTACTGAGAGGGGTTTGTAATTGAATAGACAATTAATGTATGATTAAACCCCAACTTTCTGCTCCATTTATTTGTTAGACATTAGTTTTAAATTGATTTTTTTTTTCTAACATATTTTTGCTTTAATTAGTATGACTTAATTTATCATTGGTATATAGTGTCAAACATTTTGGGATATATTTGAAAAACTTAAATGCTGTATGAATAACTTTAGTCTTTGCATTTCTGAATTCCAAATGAAATGTATGTTTAGGTAAGTAAGGAGGAGGAGAGGGAAGTTGCTTCAGGAAATTGCAGCACAGAAACATGCAAGTGTGACCAAACAGTAGCTAGTTTGAGTGGTTTTAGTGTTTATAAGAGCCAGTGTCTTCTGAAATAAAAGCAAAAGTATCAATTTTGCATCAATAGCAATGATGAAAACCCACCATTTAACTTTTTTTTTTAAAAAGCCTAAAATTATAGCATGACTTTATTGTATCACAACAGAAAGGTGGACTGAAGGTGAATGACTGAAAAACTGTTGGTGACTAGCCCTGTGTCAACAAATTGTCCCCTACTTTAAGACCAGGTGTTTTTCAAGGAGTGATTTCTGGTTACTCAGTTGAATACAAATTGCAAAAAAGCTACAAGCTACAGATACTTATCTCGGCTTTCAAAGCATATATTCAGTGTTCAGGAAAGCCACTGGAATAGCAACTCTCTAGGCTTTGTTGCAAAACCTGATTTAAAGCAGGAACCAACCTTTCAAGTTTTTCCTCTTTGTCCTGCCTTTGTTCTTTGTAAATAAAATTGAATGAAAAGCTCAAAGACAAGAATAGTAGTTTCTCATTCCTATGCAATTATTGATCTTTCTGCCAACTGCAAACATGTTGACCGGTTATAGGTAAGAATAAGTGATGTATGTAGGTATGTATGCATGTATATAACTGACCCAACAAACAACTTCATTAAAGTCCTGGTCACCAGATTTCCATTAGTTACTGTCATCTGGATTTGTACTGATGGTTCAGCTGGAAAACTGGAAAAGTTACGGAAAATGTAGGAAGTTGCAGAAGAGCAAATGTTAAGCCCATGGTGCAGAATGATAAGATACAATGAATTATATATATATGTGTCTTTTAAAGTCTGTTTATGATGTATTTCTGGTATCTGCAAAGCTGCTGTGGCAATTAGATGTCTTAAAAAAACATACTTTAAGAACAGTTGTCTATTGGTGACACCCACCATTGTAACAATGCTGATCTGGCCTGGTTTGTTCACTGAGGCCATTTCACTGCCTTGGACCCATCTTTTAAGTTTAGCTGTCAATGAATGGCTCAAAAGCTACTGCTGTAGAGTAAAAGTCATCTTGTATCAGTTTAGTTTAGATGAGTAGGAGGCTTACTTGGAGATTGATTACCTTTGTTTTCCATAATTACTGCTTTGCTCTATGGTAACGTTCCTGTGGTTGAGTTGTTTACTGAGAGAAAGGACACACACATCACATGTGCCTTTATGGGGCAGCTGCAATGTTCTGTGAATTTCCATAGTGTTTAGTGTGTGTAAACTGACAGCAAGTGCTATTTCTGGAAGAAATCATAGTTGAATTATGTAATACTTTGATGGATTTAAATTTAAATTTTGAACTCTTTAAAAGAATGGGTGAATTTTAGCTTCAAAACAAGAAATGCAAATGCTTAACCCTTCCACCTATATGCACGCACGAACAGATGTATGCTGTATTTCTTATGAAGGTGGAGAGATGGTATTTGAAAGAAAACAAGGAGAGGGTATTTTAAAAAAATCAAGGAGAGGTATAAATGTCATCATCAATTTCATTTCCCAGATTATTACTTTGATTCACTTCTCTTTGGTGGTGGTGTTCATGCTACTGCACATTTATTGCTGTTCTGATCAGTCCTATTGTGTGTTAATTTTTCTTAAAGAGACACCTTTCAAAGCCTAAAATAGCCAGTGTTTAGACAATTGATGGAATGAGAATGCTTCAGACACTGAAGGGAGGTGATCATAGAATTATGATCCAGAAGAGATACAGATGTCACGGTAAGAGGCTCTCTATTAATTTGTATCTTTGCATGCGTGTAACAATTTGAAGTGTGTAGTGTATTTATATAGACTTGAGAGAAGGGCAACCTGCATATATATCAATGTAACAACACATATCAATGTATATTTTGTAGAAATACATAAGTTTATAAGTGCTCTCCTGGCAATTTGCATATAAATACTGGCATTTTGATGTAGTTGGTCCATTAAAAAAAAAAGATCAGTAAGGCCTTCAGATATACTTTTACATCCCTGAGACTTACAAGTGCTTTGTACTGAAAAGATTCAGGAACGTCCAAAGGAAATTGATTCAACCTAAGACAAGGAGACCATCCATTCTTCCCTCAGTCTGATGGATATATTTTCATAAGGGGCCTCTGGGAGCTCCTCTCTATCCCCCTCTGGCATATCAATTACATTAAGTAACTGATCTCGCTTAATGCAGTGGTATCAGTGCTTTTTCATGGGATCTGTCTCAATTAAGTTCACAGCTGCTAAGGAGGTATATTGCAAGATCAGACCCTCTGCTAGTGCTAGATGAATCATGGAAATAAAAAAAAATTAATTTTCTACTTAGTCTGGTTCTACCTGCGCTGGAGTGGAGGCTGTCTCTCTAACTTTTACAGGACCAGGAAGCACAGCTGTGCCTGATACTTGTCTCAGAAGTCCCATTTATGAGTAATCCCTTTTTTCTGATCAGGCAGTCTGGCGTGTACAAGCACTTTGTGTCTACCCACCCACACGTTGTCCTTTCTGTCTTTGTCTGAAATACTTCACTCTGGGGCTCAGTAGAACAAAATTGATGAACAAATAATGTGCTACAAGTGGGAAAATATGCTGCTGAGTAAATGAGTTGGTTGCTGCTGTTTTCCAAATGCCTGAGCTTTAGCTAGAATAACTCATAAACCCCAAGATTTTCAGTAGTGTTTTAACACTTCCCAGTTCTTTATGTTAAACTATATGTACTGTCATTCATAATAAAGTATCAGTGTGGTAAAATAGTTTTATTCCATTGAAGGAGAAAAATGGGAAAGCTATTACCAGTATATTATTAAAAATTAAACATACACCTGGCTTTTTCTGTAGCTGTTCAGTTTTCAACACGTACACAGTACTCCTAATCATAAAATATATTTGTACATTTTTGAAGGTTTAAAATATACTTTTTCTTTTCCTGGCAATTACAAAAGATTGAAAGATCCCATGGCATTAAATAGAACCTAAATATGAACTAATATTTCTCTCTGCCTAAGACATGTGCCACTTGCCTTTAGGCAGGATGCAATGACCTGGAGTATCAAGCAGGAAAAATGTGGCTGTTATTATTAATAATGGTTATTACAGCATGGTTCTACTGCCTAGCTTGAGTGTACAAAATTACCTTTTGCTATCATCAGTGACATTAGAAACACATTTGCTACCTTTTGGTCTTTATTCAGTCAGTTTTCTGGTGCTGTAGGTACAGAAGGTTGTGTTTTTACTGCAGAAGAAGCAGGAGGTCCACGTTGTTCACTTCAGGATAGGCTTTGCTATGTGTTAGGTTCACAAGTTGAAAACCATGGCCTTTTTTGAGTTCAGTAGTTTAACTGGAGTCTCTAGTGCAATTAGAATGGAAACAGGAGACGGAAGGGAGGTCAAGTCTCGGAGGTAACTAAGGGAGGTATGTTTTGATGCAATGAAAAAAGTTAAAACAAGACATGTAGTTCTAAGACTACATAAGGAGACAAGTGTTAAGGAAGTCAGCAAGGACCAGGTTACTGCAATCAAAATGGGCCTGGATGAAAGGAGATGTCAGAGAAGGGTATAAGATAATTTATAATCTGGGTGATAAACAGCATTCTGCATATTGCATTACTGAAAACAGCTTTCCAAATGACTCTGGAGAGTTTCTTACCTCCCTCCTTCTTCCTCTCCTTCCTCATTATCTCTTCTCAAGTAACCCTGCTTGCTTAGCTGTTTTCTTAGACCTTCCAGCATTCCCTAACTTTGTTAATGCCTTTTTAAAGAAAGCTTTTATGCAAATATCCCACAGCATCTGGGCCAGTTGTCCTAAGGCACTGTGAAGACCCATTAAAAAAAGCGTGGTTTCTTGTTTGTAGAATACTTCTTCCTGGAGTATAAAGGAGGTCAAAAATAATCTCCACGGGAGGTTAAAATTCTGCTTTCAGTTTACCTGTACAGTCCCGGTGATTACAGCTGCTTCTCACATGGTGCTCTGAAAGGAAAATTTCTCCCTGTAATTTTGAAGCTGTGAAAAGAGTAGAATTAAGACTTTGCCTAATTAGTGCTACCTTTTAAAGGTCTATTTTAAGCTGTCTTCCTTCAGCCCGAACCATTTGATAGTTTCCAAAAATGTAATTTAATCATATCTGATTACTTGCTGAAGTCTGCAATTAACATAGGTGCAAGGGAATTAACAGTATTTGCCAGGTGCTGCATAATTTACCAGGAGCTGCTTGTGCCACATATATGTAAAGTATGTTGGCTGTTTAAATTTATTGGCCAGAATATTTTAAGTTTATGACTGACTAATTTTTATTGCTTCTTTTCATTTCTGTCCCGAGGATGACTCAGATATGAACTACCATATAATTATATTCTCAATACTACCACACTATCCCTTGCAATTATTCCACATTGCAGTTGTTATTTCGAAAGAGTCAAACCTACCTATCTAGAAAGCTTTTTTGGGGATGCAGTTGGTTGCTAGGATGAAGCTAAATTTTCAAGTAATTCTAGCCATGATATTGAATAAAATGCTTAAATGAACTCATTGAAAAAGTAGTTCTCATCTCAGAAGACTTCTTAAATCCCAAAGGTTAGAACTAGTTTTAGAAAATATCTTATTCTGTTATTACTAACACTTTTGCCCTACTAGGGAGTCGGTTCTTCCATCGGTTGTATAATTAAAATAGTGAGAGAATGGAAACGTTGGCCAGCTCCCTGCAGGGAAAGTTTTGGACTCTTTGGAGTGCCTTTCTGAGATCCAGATTTGTACCCTAATCCTACTCTCAAGCTTTCTTGCATCATAAATTTCTAAATACCAGTCAGTCTCAGGAGACTTCCATGTAGTCATAGTGCTTCATTTTTTCTACAGTTTCGTGAAGGTAAAACTTTAGATGACAGTAAGCCTCAGTTTAGGTCTTGGTGGAGGAATTAACAATTGTTACAAGTTTTCATACTTCATGATCTGGAAGAAAGGTTTCTACCATGTGACATCTCTCCGCTCTGTCAAACTTGGAAATTTGAAGGTCATTAGTATCTAAAATTCCCTGGAAAATTATTGTGAAAATAAATTGGGAAGGCAAATATTCTAACTGGAATACTTGCCGAATCTAAATATCAGGAGCAACTCTGAAATTTAAAAAGCTCATATGTACTCTGTGGTGGCCAGGAGGTTATCAGAAACAATGGCTTTTTAGACTGCCATTTAGTTGGAAGAAACTGCAATAAACCCAGGCACAAATGATAAAATGATGCCTGCCTTGTGATTTTGTCAGTCAGACACACAAGATTATGCAACTTTCATTTCCCAAGTACAAAGCAGCAAGTGTAGCCGACAGCGTACCAACCTGGGGATCTGCAGTCAGTTCTGTGTGTCCCACATTACATGTTATTTACATTGAAACCAGGAAGCAAATTGCTCAGTTTCGTGCTTCTGAATCTATTTACAGCCTTTTCTTTTACTGTTCATAAAACTGGTGAATACTGTCTTTCACTGAAAAGACTGTGCAGATCTTAAATTTCCCAAGAAATAATGCATTCCCATAAAGCTGTAACAGACTCCAAGAAGTGAAAGATAAGGGGAAAACAGCACAAACCCAGCAGACTTGACAGTTTATCATTGTGTGAACCAATGGCAATTGATGTAACCATATCAGAGACTTGCAGGTGTTTAGATTTTGAGATGACATTTGAGACTGTAAAAGTAATATTTGCAGTAACAGCCTTGATAAATATAATCCTGCCTGAAGCTCTGTGTGCTCCCCGTACAACTGGTACTTTAGAGGAGGAGGGAAGGTTCATTTATAATCACATACAGAGAAGTTAACAAAAGTTACTAAAAGCTTTTTTGAGACTGAACTGCCAAAACCTGCCAACTCCTCTAGCCAAAATGTACTGCCAAGTAATTTGCACAAAGTGTGTGTGGAGATCCAGAAAGGCCAATCTAGAGATTTAAGCATTTGATTTTTTTTTTTTTTTTTTTTTTCACCGCTTTGGGGGGCAATTTGCCACTCAACTCACTGAAGCATTGGTACCTCAATTATAGAAAAGGTAAGGCCAAGTCTGGAGTTTTAACTTTTTTTTTTTTTTTTTTTTTTTTTTCTGCACGCTTCGGGGAGCAATTGTCCATGGAAACTCTAGTGTTACCTTTGGTTTGCAGGCTTTCTGGAAGAGCCTGAGCCCAAGTTCTGAAGTGATCCCTGAAGACTAGGGAACAAGATACTGTACAGCAAATTGATGTTTCTCTGTGTATACATCTAGATGTAGATATTTGACATAGTCCTTCTCTGCTTAGGGAGATGCAGGAGGAATAAATAGTCATTCCTAGATTTGTCCCTAAACTTTCTTCTCATTCTGCTACCTTGTACCTGGTTTTGCCTTCCCACTTCTGCTTTTTCTGTTCTCTCCCATTTTCCTTCCTTCAAATCTTTATATCATTGCACGTTGTTTTCTTTCTTCTTTTCCATCACTTTGTATATTTCTCATTATTAATTCTAAGTCACTAAAATGGGCTTCTTTCCTGGCTTGCAGAGTCAGCCTATTTGGAGACATCACCTGCAATGAATGATTTCCAGAAACACTCACTCAGTGGAGTCAGGGAACAATAATGAAGGTTAACTGTCCAAAGGTAATTAGAAATCTCTCTACTATTTTATTACCATGGAAGCCTTCTTCCTGCCAAGGTTGGTCTTGTTAAGAAGATGCCAAGTCTCAAGGAGACAATTCAGTAGTACAACAAGTCAAGCAGAATGTAATGGATCACAAAACTGGACAACACTTAATGCCCTTCTTGAAACAGAATTGGAAGGCCGTGATCCTTCTTTGCATGTAAAATATTAGAGAAATGATCTCGCAATGATGATTCAATAAATCTTAAATCTCCTTTTAGATCTGAAGATCCCAAGCGGATGTTTATACATATATAGGAAAAACTTACTTTAGGCAACAGATGTAGTAAAGTTTGCAGAAGTTCCTGTGAGCCGGTAAAAAAAAAAAAAAGCAGTTGATTTGCCAAGAGAAGCAAATACCACTCAATATATCACAAAAAATATATATATACTATGCACAGTGAAAACCTAGAAAGTGGAGGCTTTTTAACCGATTTTATTAAAAATTTGAATTCACCTTGTGTTGCAGAAGTGTCGATGCGGAACTCTGCCTGACATTTTGCTTAGCCAGTTCCACAAAGGATGAGAGTCGGCATTGTTAGAACACTGCAGGTGGTTAAATATACTGGGAAAGATACATTTCACTGGAAACTTTGCATTCAGGTTTTCCTGTGAATTGTCACAAATACGGTTCAACTACCTTTGTGTGCTGACGAAGGTTTTTCAGTGTGTTTCAGAATATTTATTGCCATTTATTGCTTCAGCTAAGTATGAGGAGACTTATCACCATTCTTTAATCTCTTTGCAGGTTTTCAAAAAAGCTCTTAATATATTACTCCATGTTAAAAGTTGTCAGCACCATTGGCAAGCATTAAAGATGAACATGAAGGAGTTGTACTTTTCTGGATGTGATTAATTTTGGCACAGTGCTTGTTCCCATGGCTAAGCCCAGTGTGCACTGCTGTTCTTGTCAGGTTTGTTATGTGTGTTTTCTCTTTCCAAGGTATTATGTCTTCACTGTGAAACATTCATCTAGACTCAGATTTGGCAAACAGAGTCTGAACCTAGCAGAATGCTGGTTTCCAGGAAAAAATAATTTGTTCCCTTGGAGGGAGGGAAGGGATTTGGATTTTAAAATGCTTCATTGTGCTTTTTAACACAAAACTTGCTTTACATTTCTGTTTGTAACATTTCACAAGCAGTTGCTTAGAAGCAACCTTGATGATCACTGAGTAAATTATAACATATTATGTGAAATTTCAAGTTCTGTTTTCAAATGTTAAATTCTTAGAGAGTAATAATAGCTTCAGAAGTTCAATGCTCTTGATGTGACTATTGACGATATGGTTTCCTTTACAGCTAAGAGCAGTATATAATAAGTGAAATTTTTAAACATGTTTTCCTCTCTAGGAAATTAGCCTTGAAATTATAACACTGCTAAGGAAACTGACTAAAGACACAGGTATTGTACATAGTCATCCAAGCTGTTTGTGAGGGACTTAAGAGGCAGCAGAAATAGTTTAAAGCTTTTCCAAACTAGATTGTGTTTATGAAGACAGAAATTGTTATACAAGATTAAATCTGAAGGTTCATCTATTTCACTCCTCTATTTCCAACAGAGGCTCCAGAAAAATCAAAGGATCTCGTATTAAACAGAGGTAGGATTTAATTGCTTTCATATTTATTTTATTTCTCATCTCAATTTGCTAATAAAGCATAGAGCTCATCATGAATATGATGAAGTATTAGTACTTAATACCGTGCTAACGGTCAGCCTCCAGTCAGATCTTCTCATGGTACATGGAGTGAACAATATAAATAGGTTTTAAATAACGATAGATTTTTATTGCTAGGGCAAAAAAAATACATTCCTAAAGAAACTGAATGACGAGTGCTATCTCTTGAGGAAAGCGTTTCTTATTGCATAGCAGTATAAGCAATTAATTTATTGCTGGTTGTCTTTCAACTTCTGTAATACTTGAACATAAATGGATTTTTACCTGCAAAACCTGGAATCCATCATGGCCAGGGCAGATTTGTGGTAAAATGGGACTAGTAATGAACTTGGAGGCTATAGGGATGTGTTTTCCAGGAATGGCTACCCACGGCTTCAGTATACCAATCTACACTTCTCCTTTTTATCTTGGGCATCGTTTATTTTGCTTTACATAATACTGACATTCTGGGAAATTATGCCTTCGTGACAAGCCTTTTAATAATAATAATAAATAGTTGGCTGTGGGTTTGTGGCAGTTTAAGAAATAAAAAAAAAAAACCTCCTCAAAAATACATATTTAAAGGAGGACTTAATATTTTCTTGACTCTGGCAAACTTTTGATTTAACACAGAAGGATAGCGAGTACACGGTCCAGGAGTCTGAAATTCTGCTTACTCCCAGATTAGTTCAGGGAGAGATTGCAGCAGTGATGCCCTCCTGGCTTCATTCTTTTCCTAAGTATTAGAACTTGGGAACAGTTATCTATTTTTGTTCGCAATATTTGCTTCTCTGAAGCTGCCAGCTTAGATGACTGTTGTGTAGGGTGAATGATTATCACTGTCTGTTAGGCCTGAGTTGAAACCAATTTCATAGAAAATAGAAAGCTGCGTGCATTTTTATATGAGAATAATTTTGAAATGAAAGTAATTCTTCTGTTTCTTGAACTATTATTTCTTCTGCTGATGAATAAGGAATTGCATATTGCTGTAGTTCTTATTTCAGTCAAATCTGCATAAGTTATGGTACAGACTTCAAGCTGACAGGATTTGTGTTTAAACAAGTCAGTTGTTATTATAAGACTATTGTATTAATTAGTATGATGAATTTATGAACTTTGTTATTCCTATTAAATACAACATTATAAAAGGCAAAGGCTTGAGTATGTGTTCCTCAGTTGTTCAAAGCCATTGGGATGTAGCTTTCAGCCGGTGTATTTCAAATACAGTTATTGGTTTGAAGAAAAAAAAAAAGGCAATTGAACATTTTAATCTCCTATACTGCCAATATTGAAGGAAGTCTTCCTCATCTGTTTTGCTCAGTGAGATAACTTGGCTGATAACCTTTATATAGTGTAGGGACTTACCTCATTGCTTTCTAATAGAGTTTCTGGAGAGTATAGATTTAGATTACAATGTCGAATGGCCACAGTGCCTCAGGGAAATATGTTCTCATTAATGCACTTGTTAATGATTATCATTGAAGAGACTCTAATAGTATCAGATGTAAACGTTGTCACAGCCCTCTATCTTTATCATGCAGATATGGAGATGCATCATTAATTCACACAGACTGATTCTCGGAGCTCTGCAAATTGATGCAGTGTGATAATGTCTGAAGGAAATTAAAAGCTGTGCATTATCAATTTAATATTTCAGATTTCTATTACCAATTAATACAGTCCAAGAGATAAGAGGAATTGAACCACAACAGTAGTATGGGTCATTTAAAAGAGATCAAATTCAGACTGTGCCTCCATCAGTTCCAGCTTCACTATGCTCCTTTGCGCTCTCCTTGAGAGGGATGTGACAAATACAAATTTACATCAGTGAATTCTCTCAGCTGCAAAGTTAAAAACATATATGCTATACAAGCACAAAAAACATATGGCAATATGAAACAGTTTACAGAATCTAGAATAATTTTTAAACTCCTTTATCAGGAGTTACTTGCCTTTATTCAAGTATAGTAGTATCTTATTTCTTTATCTTGACTTTGATGGGTTTATTCATAATGCATTGAGTGCAATAAATCAGAATCTGTCTCAAATTTGTAGCTTTAGATGCCACACGTTAATAGCATATTTGTTAATTATTATCTCAAATCTTATAAGAATTTAATTATGAATATTTGGTTTGGGTTTTCTGGGGGAGTCTTTTTGGTAGGAAACACCCTGGATTATTTCTTTGTTGTAACTATCTGAAATACCAGTATTTTCAGAACAGATGAGAAATGTGATGGTTTTGTACGCAAACAAAGGTAAGCTTTTAGAAATAATAGTGCAGTTGTAACTATGTTGTCACTTGTGTAGGAAATGGTATAGTAAATAGGTGGGTGCTAAGATAGAATCAAAAAGTAGCTTTTCAGTGACCTGTTTTGATATCAGACTGTCCTATTGGATGCGTCTCCCTAAATGGGGGTGGAGGGCTAGAGGGGATGGAACAGCAGAATTTACAAATGGAGACAGTGTTAAGTTGTCATAAAAGGAGGAAAAAACATGAGCAACTAATAATGTCACTTGTGCTGAATTATAGCTAGTTGTGAAGTCATGAACAAGAGAATTCAACTCCAAACTCACCAAGGTCAAACACATGGGGTCTAGAAGATTTTTCCTTTGAAAAGGCAAATGGGATATGCCTAGGGAAAGATAATCAAAGTTAACAAAGTACGGAGGTGTTATTTTAGATCAGTGAAGAATCAACAAAACCACGAACTAAGCATGTATGTCAAACTAGGGAGTAATTGATCTCACACAGGAGAAAAATCACAGGAGCACGTAGAATAAAGAAAAGATGAATAGCACAGTGCTAGAATGCTGCATGTAATTGGGAGATACATAGATTCTCTTGAGTCAACTCAATCCTGTTTGGGGGAAAATGTTCTAAGAATGTTTTTGTGCCTCTGAAGCATAATGCAGCTACATCATTAATCTGTTGCAAGCTATGAAACTGTGAGAGAATATTAGCAAAAAGTGTTTGAGGAATTGATGAAAGGAGTCAATTATAGTCCAAGTCCAGAGGAATGCTATCTCAGTCCATATGCCTTGTACTTTTATGGGTACAGATGAAAGATTACAGAAAGTAAGGTCTTGCAAAACTGGAAAAGATGTAGAAATGAGTATTGACAAAGGAAATTTACATCAGAGACTCTTTTGTGCAGGACAGCAGTAAGGGAAGTCATCTGTGAAATGAGATCTCAACACAGCTATGGTAGAAAATTCGTGTTTACTGCTACGCTGCCACCAGTCAACATTGAGACACCACTAGCTGTGACTGTCCTGGCTGGGGACAGTCAGGATATGTGTAAGGTGCCACAGTTATGCTACTTGCTGCTGATATAGCGAGTGAGCAAAAGCTAAACCACAAAAATCGTTCTTAAGTAAGACTTCAATATTTTCGGCTTCACAAGAGGAAGAAATCTTAGAGAAAAGCTTTATTTCTAGTATTTTCTGCCCACACCACTTGAGTCTCACGTTACTTTTAAGATCTTGATAAATCTATGAAATGAAGTAATCTAATTATTTATCTCTAATGAAAACATGCAAACATCTGAGATTGGTCCAGTGCTGCTATAAAATGTCACTGTATTAAATTTCTTCTATGAGGTAATAGAGGAACCGGTGCACTTTTTCTAAAATCTTGCGTATTCCTCTGGCATTATTCTTGCTGCAATACACTGTGCTCCTTTCTGAGTTCCCAAGACTGAGGAATACAGCTCGCTTGCTTCCTCTCAGTTATTTGGATGTTGTCTTTTGTAGGGGTCTGCCAAGCCTTGCAGATTTTTAACACTGTGGAGAGTGTATTGTAAGGTCTGTAATGATTACCTGGCTTGCTGTGAGAACTTGGAGAAGTGAAACATTAGCATTTTTTGTGCCATGTTAACTCTACTTTTTACAAAGGTAGTTCTCTCTCTGTCATCCATACTGGTTTGATGTGGTTTTCATATTGCAGCCTGTGCAAAATATAAAATCTGGCACCTATTCATCTCAGTCTCTCTGTCACACTTCTCGCCTGCTTTTAATTTCCCCTTAGAAAGTTACTTCCTATCCCTATTGCAAGGTTCTAATTTTAATAATCCCAGTCCATCCAGAGCTGTTTCCCCAAAGAAATATTTCACTGCACACATCACTTAGTGTGCTGATATTTCTTGTTAGTATGCAGCGTCAGGTTAGCACCTCTAGATAACCTTGATAAATTAAAAATTGGCTTATCAATATTCAATCAACCTAGCTCATTTATCCAAATGTCTGATTTCCTTTCTGTCAGAGCTGAGCTAAAAAGGGACAGCAAAAGTAAATGGAATTAAAATTGTATATTTTCCTCTTAAACAGAAATTAAATCAGTTTGCTGCTAATGTCACCTTAAACACCATGGTTTAGCAACAGTGAAATAATATACAATGGCAGATATGATATCACAAAATGTTAGTTTTCATTAGATAGTTATTCTTTGAATAAAGTGAACGTCTAATCAACACTTTGTTAGGAAAATTTGGGAAAGATGGGTTTGGTTTGCCCAGTTCTTATTACTGCTGAGTCTTGCTGATTCTTCGATATAATTTTATAAATTTATAGAGTTTTATATCTTCCAAAGGGCTGTGGGGCGGGTGGGGTGAGTGCCTCCTGACCTCGTCTTCTTTTAGCATGCTGACAGCTGCATAATTTTCCAAATCAGATCTCCCTTTATCTTGTGCTTCATTGCCTTTGCAGTTTAGAAATCCTCAAACATCCCCTTGTGTTTGCATAACAATTGTTATATAGTGGTTTTCTGTAACTGTCCCACTCAGTTAATCCACTGCTTTTACTGCTTTGGACCAGTTTTTGTGTCTGTTGCCTATCATCTTGGGTTTGAAAATTACAGTGTAAGTTATTCAAGGGAAATGGCAGTGTTGTTTTAACACTGTAACAAAAATATAACAGCACATCGCGTGAAAGGACAGGCTTAGAGAATTTCACCAGGCTATGGTTTGCAAAAATCTTGGTGATATTGGGGGCCTGCACTGCGATGCCATAAATAGATCTGATTGTCGGTGGGCAGATGGGCAGCAGCGTTGTCACTGAAGAGGCTTCTCATCTTTCTCTGCGTGAGGATGACTTGCTTTGATGTTCTGGGTATTAAGCAGGGACCCTGAAGCTCCAGGATGTTCTGTGATAAATTCCTAAAAACATTCACATGCTCATTTCTCAGTGTTGAAGAAAACTGCACTGTCACTCAACAGAAGGCAAAAAGAGGCCAATCTTTGATTGCAATACATAGACCTCATTAATTTATATATAGGATGAACCCTGAAGGCCCTAACTCACAAAATCAAAGTTTCCTGGGGGTTTAATAACCTAGGTTCATTCTGTATTGTAACAGCTGTCCTGCAGAGGACTCCAGCAATTCCCTGATTTACCTCTGTTTTCAGTGAATCTCTGATTTTGTGCTGAAAATGAATTCCTTATGAAGCTCCAAAATTATTGGAGTTTCTGTTTTTTGTTATCCCTGTTGCCAACTCAGAAATGTGCTTTGCTGAGCTAACATTAGCCTACACAGTAATTTTCATTAAGATCATTAAAATTATTTCAGCCCTGCCAGGTTAAAAAACCTAAGGTCAAGCAATTTGAATTAATTTAAGGAAAACATTTAAACAAAATTTTGTAGGTTTAAAGCTTTAAATTTAAAAGTAAAAATAATTTAAATCTACATAAAATATTGTTATGTTTGTTTTACAAGGAACTTTGTTCTCTAAATTTTGCACCCCTGTGAAAAAGATTAATTATTTGCACAGTTCTAATGGCTTAAATAACTGATAAACTGATTCAAACATTCAAGTATATTCTGTATCCCTAAACTGCTTCCGTGACAGTCTCCTTATCTGAACTTGACCTAGCCTTATAACATAAGCCAAATAAAACATGGAAGGACAAAGTCAATGAAAAGCAATTTTCAGAGAAGACTTTCCCAAGATTTGAAAGTCTTCCTGGAAAATAGTCAAAAGTACCAACATTTAATCTTGAAAATATCCTAGTGATTTTAAAAGGTGTATAGTAAATTAGTTTCTGAATTTGGCAGTTGCCTAAGGATATGAATATTAGAAAATTTTGAGTCTATTTTCTTTCATTCTTACATTAGAACTTGCAAATTGGTGTTTAGTAACTCCTCAGAGAGTCTTTATGCTCCCCCCCAGTTTGAGTTTGATTAATGCCCTAGATCACTCATTGATTCTTCAGCTATTCTTACCTTCCCCCACCCTGCCCCAAGGGCGCTTATTTTAAAAGTAAATAAGTATAAGATGGGTTTAATTAAATCCTGTCAAGATTCAAAGGTTTCTTTCACTTTAAATGCTCAGTACAATTGTTGTTGATTTTAAAGGAACCAAAGAAAATGCTTCAGCAAGTGTATATGCACCACGGAGAAAAAATACAAGGGGAAATGCAGGTGAGGGAAGGCCATTCAAATTTCTTGTCTCGAGAAGTTGTTGCACATTTATATTAGGTAAAGATTTGTGGGTGTTTCCTTGTGGGGTTGGCAGTGCTTTTTTAAAAAAGTGAGCAATTGAAAAGCATATACAATATCAAAGATGCCATTTGATATCATTAAAGTCTTACTCAATAGTTTCACTATAATCTAGGTAGAAATGTAACATAGGAGTCACATCATTATGGGGTTTTGCATCAAGAACTTCTTTGTAGTTCAGTCCAACCACACATTTACCCTGAATTAAAGATGCCAATTTGAATTCTATAAAACAATGGCTAGTTTTAATATCAAAACAGTGCAGAGGCAGCACTGTCCTGCTGCTGGTGTTGCTGCTCACCAAATGGCTTTCTAGAAGAAGGAAATAAAAACGTGCTCATTTCAGAGTTGATTATCCGTGTTTATGATATCTGGTGCTTCTTTTAAATCACTACCTCTATAAAGTAGGTTTTGTATGGTTGATCTGTACCTGTTTGGTGTATCAAACCACTTGGTTATGTATTTTCTGCAGGGTTGGCAGGTGTGCTTGGAGATGTGTGGCTGGAAGATGCTCAATGTCCTCTACTTGGTAACTTATTTCCTTCCACTGCAAGAACCAGTTTTTCTGTAGGGTTTGCAATTATGGAGTTGGATGGAGTAAATGAAAGCACCTGACGTGAATAGTGGGTGAGGAGAGGGTGCATCCTGGGACGCTGGCCAGAGGATGGGAAGTCAAAGACTGTTCTAAAGGTACAAAATACTTCTGTTTGAATAACAGCAAAGGGGAAAGAAAAGGCAATTACCAGTTACAGAATCTTGAAATATCCAGACTGGAATATGATTCAGTGGGTAGGAAACTTCGGTAACCACAGTAACTGTAGGCTGCTTCAGCCTGAATTTGATAAAGCAGTGGTGGAATTTGTGCTTTTCCCTTGAAAAAGATAATACAGACCCTAAGGATAATAACGTGAAGGAGAAAGCTCTTTCTGAGTTTGAATTTTAATAGAAAACCTAAAGTTTCCACACAGTTCACTGTCTTGTATATAATTAGTCGAAAGTCTTTCCAAGGAAGACCTAAGGGAAGAAGCTCTTTGCTTTCATTTTGCAGGTTCGTGTTTGCATTAAGGTTAACATAAACATTAAAATACAGAGCATCTGCAGCCACATGGCGGGGGGGAACATGGTGGCTGGATGGACTTTTTACCAAAACAGCTTCACACAAAGACTACTCTGGTGCCTAAGTCTGGGAGATACTGGTGGGAGATGCATGTCAGCCTAACCTTGGGCAAGGAAAAACAAGCCAGGGTTCAATAGGAAGATGAGTCCTATTATTTTGTGAATTTCTCTAAATGTCCCACTAAACCTGGCTGAGAGCAATTTAGCCTGATGTTAGCCCTAAACCATTTACTTTCAAATGCCCTTTCTGTTAGATAATGCTGATCAAAGAAATGAACTCACTTAATGGGTGCAAATTAATCTTTTTCTTAATCTCTGATTATTAATTATTTTGTTCTATATTGACTACCATACACATTTGCAGGATCTACAGGTGAATATTTACTGCTGTTAGGGAAGAAGGTTTCAATTTCTCCAATAGCTGGCTTGCTTGATAAGGCCATATTAAGGTATACATATTCCAAAATGGACTTTCACAGCATTTTCAGAATCTCTTAAACCTTCAAAGATGCTGAGAAAATTGTAAATTGGGAGCATTCATGCTTTATTGTGAGACCCAAATATGTTCATGCTAGAGAAATAACTGGAATGTTTGGATATTATTAGTAATACAGACTTAGAAAAATGTATTTAAGAATTTACAATCTCCTTCTGCTGTACTTAGTGCATATTTGTTTCAAATATTTCTTAAAATATTCTCTCATTCTGCCTATAAATTTTCTTCCATGAACTAAAACTCCTTTGATATAAGTGATATTAACGGTGCCCTATTTTTCATCTTAACCAGTTACAGGTCTAATATGTGAATCATCACATATTCTTTGTATAATTGCCATTTCTGTCCTATACTTCATGTTTAGGTGAAGTAAAATTGCTCTTATTTTTTCTTTTTGTGATCTGACCTCATTGAAGAAGCAGAGAAAGAGCAAAATAATTTACTTTAGCAACTATTAAAAATTCTAGGCTTTATTTCAACCAGGGTAAAACTTATGAAAAGATTTCATTGTAGATTCTGAAGAAAAGAAAACAGCTTGAACTGAAGAGGTATTAATTTCTACTGTACTTTCAATTTCCTCTGGCTTTTATGGAAGCTGGTAGTTCTTAGAATTAATGTCCAAAAAGGGAATTACTAACACAAGGATAAAACATATCTTGTATCCCTTCTCATGGACACCATCAGGTAGGTAGATAGGTGTCTTTTACCTTGACACTCACATTATGTATGTAAATTATATCCTGGTGACCAAATATTTATAAGTTGCTAACATTTGGTCATCTTTGTGCTTTGTGATGGGTCTTCAACTTATGAGAAGCATAATGCTTGGCAGCCAACCATTATGATGGGTGGCCACATCATTTGCAGATGATACTAATTAATGAAGTTTCCTTGCCTACTGCAAGGAAAACCTGTTTTACAGTTGCATTAGTATTCTAACCCTCACTGAAGAAAGGACTATCTATTCTTTCTCTAGGGAATACTGAAAAAACAAAACAAGGTAAAGTTTTAATTTTTTTTCCTAGTGAAACTAAATTCATACTTAAATGGACACGTTTCTGCTGAAAGGTATGCAAGTAAGAACACTCTGTACGCTGGGCTTCACTCCTGAAACTTAATTAGACTACAGCATTTGCTTGAGTGTCGAGCTTGACCATGAGGATGCCTACTAATGAATATGAAGTCAAGCATAACTTTGGAATAAACTAAGAAAAAGGTAAGTTTTGTTTTACCACCTTTTTTTCTCATAAGTTTTCTTTCTATGATCACAAAGGCTTTCGCACATGTTAAAAATAATTTCCAGCTAGCGATCCAAATTCAGTCCCAGGCACATATGGGAAAACACTAAGACTGCTGGGGAATGACCCGGTCACCTCCAGCCTGGGATGGCAGTGGTCCTCCTGGCCGCCTCCTTCCTCTCAGCTCTCATGCTGCATCTCTCCTTGGGAAGCACCTCTCTCCCTCAGCAGAGGCAGTGCCCAGCAGGAGTGTGTTTCTTTGGGCGGTTGGGCAGGGGATCTCTGCAGACCTGCCAGCTGGGCTGGGTGCCCATGTGCTGAGCTTGGAGAGCCCCAGTGTGTGTCCTGGGACATCCTCCAGTCCATCTCTGTGTGTAGAGTGCAAGTAAACCCTCAACTTTTTAAATACTCATAGGTAAGTAATGAAAATCCTCTTTAGACAATTAAAATGCTTAGCTATTAGCTAAGCAGCTAATGGTGGCCAGCCAGTGCTGGAAAAGATTACTGAAGACTTTTATTTTAAAATGAGAAATCTAATAACTGAGACTTCTTGCTAGGATGAGAAAAACATTTCTTTGCCTTAATATTGTATTGTACATATTTTTCCACTTTAACAATAAGGGTAGCCAAAAAGCATGAAAAAAAAATCTGTAATTAGCTCCAGCTATGTAAGTATAAATCCATATGCTAGTTAGCCTTTAGAAAAAGAGCCGTTTGTGTTAAATTCATTAAGACTTTCCCATTAAAAACAGAGCACCCATGAATTAGTTTGACAGAGAAAAACTGCTGGAGCATTTACTTGGATTTGGCTCGGTGTGCTCCCAACCTTTGTCTTCGCTGCAAGTGTAGCTGCCAGTTATTTCACCCAGCCTAGCCACGGCCTCGGAGCCCAGAGTGATTTGATTAACAGATGATGAATTATGCAAACTTGAACTCTGGCTTGTGGTTGAAGTCCTGCTGCATTATTGCTTTGATTCTCAGCAGAGTTTGAGTATTATGCCACAAGCCCTATTAGGCTGGCTAGTTCGGATTTGAAGCATTTCTTAAAGTGAAGTTAGAGATTGGTGATTGGGTGGGAGTTCCTTTATAGGAAATATGCACACCCAGAGTTTTTGCTAGTACTGCAATGGAAGAAGGTGGAAAAAGATATGAGCAATGTACCCAGCCCATCAGAATTGTTCACAAAGTTGATGACAAACTCAGCTTGTGAGGCCGAAGCGTTTTCATTGTGAAGTGTCTGAGTAATCGTGAAAAAAGCTGCTGTGTTGTTTTTTTCTTTCTGTTTACACTAGAAAAACCTTCCCAAATATCAACAAGTGTTTTTTCCTTTCAAAGCACAGACACTGAAAGGAGAGGGGTGGGTGATTAAGGGGAATGATAAAGTATGAATAGAAGTTATAATTATAGCAGGCCCTATTCTGCTGAAGCAGAGTTCTCTGTAATATTGTGAACTTCTAAGCTCTCTCCAGAAGCTGCATTACTGAATCTAATTTATTGTTAGCTTTGTTTTGAAGCGGTTTAGTCCATAATTTAAATTATTTGAGTAACCAAAGTTACCTGCATGTTGAGTCTAGGACAGTTCAGGTAGGGAACTGCCTCCTGTATTTAACCATTTGTTTTCTGGAGATATTCAGTTCTGCTTTTTTAAAAAAAAAAAATTGTAAGGTAAGTGTGCAAAGAGTTCAAATTAAAAAAAAAAAAGTTATAACATTGAAGAAATACTTATAATTGTGTTTTAGCAGTAGTTTCTGTCAACTTCTTGACTAGTACTCTGTGTGTCTTTCTCACGGATAATTTTTCTCTCTTTCATTGGCTAGTACGTGCTATTCTGTACTCTTTCTAAATAAATCGAGTGATAACTTATGATGACTCCCCTGTTCTTTATCACTGAGGCTCAGCTTGATTGAGTCACAAGTGGTGGGGATGGTAGGCTAGAAAAGAAGAAATACACATAAAAAAGAGATTATGATATTGCCATAAATACCTTAAAAATGCTTGTTGGAACACACAGAAATGAATTATGTTACAAAGAATATTGTGCTTCCTGACCCATGGATACTGCAATTAAGCTCCTACTTTGTTTCCAAATCTATTTATAGTTCCTAGATTATGTGCAATCCTTGTGAAATTGTTTAGTACCCATGGTTACCAAACACACTTCATAAGCTATAACAGTTCTAGTGCTGTGATATATCAGCAATTTTTTGTCTCTTCCTAACAGTAGTTTTCTGGTATGAATTCTCACAGATATAGATAATAAAATCCAAAAATATTTCCTGTGCTTGCAGTAAGCTGTACTTAACATTACTGTTTCTGCGTGGCTTTACCCATCAGCATGGTATTGTGGCACATTGGAAACATGAATAGTCTTGGCCTGCATTGCATTCCAACAAAAATTGTGAGTCTTTATGATAAACCATTTCTAAATAGATGAGAAAGAGCTGAAAAGCCTTCATGCCTAAATCTGAAATGGGAACTGCACCTAAGCCACATGAAACTCCTTTTTTATTGTCCTTTTCTTTTGAAAATGTAAGCAGACAGCAGCAGCTGTTGCAGCTATAATAATTGTAGCCTAAGAAGTCCTGTGATATTTTTCCTATTGTGGTAGGATTTGCACTTTTTTAATGTTTTGTTCTTTTCACCTGATGATTCAGGAAGTGTGTGAAATTGAGGCAGAGATGTTGTGTCTTATGGATTCTCTGTGATATAAAGATAGGAGTGTTCACCAAAGAGTTTTACAGTCTTGAATGATTCCCTGTGAAGGGAAGAAAACTGACATAATTGGCATAATACAGTGAAATTAAACATATTATTTCTTAATCCTGTTATTTCTTTCTTCTCCTTTTTAATTCATTAAATCATTCTTTGTTCTTTCTTTTGTCCCTCTCCTCTTTTGACACCTCTGAAACATAAATCTCACACACACACAAAAAAACCCAATTGTGTAATGCTAATGTGAGTTAAAATAGAAAAAAAACCCAACAAGTAAACTTACGAACTGTGCTGGTTTTATCTACTCCTTTCCAGTTTTTCTCTGAGTCCCTTCCTACATGGTATGTATATATCTAATTACATCAAGTATCAAAAGCCAACATGACACCCATATGTACGAGTAATTAGCAGGTACAGTCTGATTGCCATCAGAAGTGGGTAATGTTTCGGCACTAATGGGCCATTACAATGAGTGGGCATTACAGTCTCAGCACTTCTTTTGTGTAATAATGTTGTCCTGTGCATTTTCTGCTTTTCTTGCTGACTACAGTTTAAAGCAAAATCTCAGCTAAACCAGGTAATCCACCTGATCCGAATCTGCTCACTAAGGAAAAAAAGTTGGGAAAAGGAAGTATTTGGAGTAATGTTAATATTTCAGAAGTATGTTTAAATCATCTAAGGCTTGTATTGTTTTCCACTCAAATCATACTACTTGTTTTTAAACAAAAGCTTACAGGAATCCATTCAATTCACAGGAGAGCTACAAAACTGTAATGTGTATATTCATTCCTGTGAACTGTTTATTATGCCGTTGCAATTCATCTCTCCCTTCAGATACGCGTGTTATGTGGTAAACACAGCAATTGGAAACATATCTGCAATGCCTGTTGCTCAAAATAGATTTATTTAAGGGGGGGAAAAAAAGTAAATACTTCATATGGAGCTTTATTTGTAGAACATAAGATTCTTGTTTCATTTCCTCATTCTCTCCTAAGCAGTACACAGGGACTCATAGGTGCAGTGTTATTATTTGTCAATTGATAAAAAATAACTTTCTGCTCACCTCTGTCAGTATTTATGCTGTCATGAGAGACTTGGGCGACTGAGGTAAGGGGAGAGAGGTTCATGGCCTGTCAGGAGGCAGCAGCTTCGTCTGCCCCTGGCTTGGCTGTTTTCACATCCCTCCATGTGCTGAGTCCCACCAGCAGCAGGTTCTCCTCCGCCTGGCAGCGTGGGGCTGGACCCACGTGAGTTATTTTGCAAGGGCTGTGCAGAGTGGCTTCCCATCGGGAACGACTAAACAGACACCCACTATGTGTGTATAGGGTTGTTTGAGAAGGGAGAGACTACTTGATCATATGCTGCAAACCACATTATACCTGGAAAAAAGAGAATTTTCCCTTCTCTTTTTAGCCTGGCTGTGAAGCTTAACAAATCTGGCATAGTTTAAGCAGGGAAAGTCTGTCTGTGGGAGGAACGTGTCAGATGTCTTGAGATACAAGATGCCAAGAGCTATGAGCCTCATTCCTCATTTTATACCTGCCTTGGGAACAGCGCGGACAAAAAGCTGTTAATATAAGAGAGTGTGAAATGCCTAAGCAGAGAGCGGGCAGCTGTTCAGAAAGTGTGCGGACAAAAAGCTGTTAATGTGAGAGTGTGAAATGCCAAAGCAGAGAGCGGGCAGCTGTTCAGAAAGTGAAATGCAGTGAAAATGGGTATGTCCAAATGACGATGAGGTTGCACTGCATTCTTCACCCAGCCATGGCGGGCCTCTAATGTGGGAAACACGCAGCCGTGGTTGACGAATTAGCACCCACTAAGCCTGTCAAAGAGGCTGTGGCGAGGGGTGCTGGCTGAGGACTGGCTTTCTCCTCCACTTTGTTCTGCGTGATGCCTTCAGCCCACGTCAGTGCAGCTGGGCTCCCAAACCACTGGGAGCTCTGCCCCTCCATGGGCCCAGAGCCTTAACATGGCCTGTGACAGATGACACACCGTCTGGAAACTGCTCTTTGCTACCTCCTAGGTAAGGCTTGTTTCTTTGTGAACTCTAACTTATCCCAAACCACAAGGTGTTTGTCAAAATGCTTAGGATATGTAAATCCAGGGCCGTACTGAGGTGACAGTGTTTGTGATCCGAGCCTCGGTATATTCTCAACAATCTAATCTCAGCATCTGTTATGTGAGATAATTGGTGTGTTTTGGCTTTGTGTCTAGCATTAGGCTGAGCAGAAAGATGAACACACTGTGCAGATTAGGTTAAGCCAAGAACAACATTTCCATGAATGTCTCTGGATGTAAGTTTGCCCGCAGCATGATCTAGAAAATGTGATGTGTCTCCCCATGAATCGTTTACTCTCTTTCTTCCACATACTCATAAGTCCTGTGTGCTCTTGTTTCTTTGTGATTTATGTGGAAAAATATCTGTCATGACACTGTTCACAGTGGACTTAGATGACCGAACTCTTCTAACATGCATGATTTGATCTCCTTTTTTCTCAATCTCTCTGGACACTGCTGTTACTGAACATCACTGTCATCTGGGCCATGTGAGATCATGGACTTAGATGACCGAACTCTTCTAACGTGCATGATTTGATCTCCTTTTTTCTCAATCTTCAGTCAGGCAATTTATTTTAAAGTATTTTTTAAAGTCTGAACACTCTTTGCTTTGCTTTCCTCCCCCATTTTATTTTCTCTTGAGTGGGATTTGATCCCAGTGGAGCGTGGGGTTCAATTTGATCTTTTACAAGCAAAATTCGACTGGGTTATGTATTAACTACAATAAGTACATTCATCTCTTATTCAATATTCCCATAATTAAAGGGAAAATCTTAATTTCATTGTAGAAGATGCTACTAAGACTTCTGTAAATTCATTGTTTAATAAGAGAAAAGAAAACAAGACGTAGAAACTTGCTTTTCAATTGTATAGATCTAAGCAGTTTCATACTGTAAATCATGCTGCATAATACTACAATTTCACAATATAAATCTCTAAATCATAAATCATAAATATAGCCTGTAGCTACATGACTGTGTGCGATGATAATATTTTTCTAAGTTTCTCCTGTAATGATTTATGTCTTCTTTTGGGGTATCTCATATTGGTACTACAGATGGTCTTGGTGATGATTTAGGACAAGGCACTCTTTTTGGTTGGAAAAAATGTGGTGCCACAGTTCAGTGGTCAAAAGCAGAGCTGTACAAGTGGGCTGTGCTAACAGAGGGTGCATATTGTCTGTGGATGATGATAATGGCTTGTTGCGCTGCCCTTGTAGGATTCACTTAGTTATTTTATTTTTGTTTTTTACAGGATTTTTAGTTTAAATGATTACATGTGATATTCCACTGGAAGTATTAAGTGTCGATAAACTCAATGAAATCTTGCAACCTGTACGCATGGCAGAACATGATCTTGGATATCATCAGCAAAGAATGTGAGCTCCTCCCAAAAGAGAAGTACTTTGCTTTCCAGCCATGAAGATGCAAGGTTGGTAGTAGATGAGGGGAAGTATGAAAAACCACCCAGAATGTAGGTGCATTGCAATAAAACCTGAGCAAACAGATGGGATTTTATTTCAATTCTGATGGTGCTGTTCATTCTTCTTCATCTGGCAGAATATACTCGGGACACATCTCTTTAGTTCTATTATTGATTTTTAACTACTTTTAATTAAGATCAGATTGGATCATCACTGATGTAAATAAACCTTCAAGATTGCTGTCCCAGTGAATACAGTGAAGATGCCAAAATTTCTATGGGCCAGAATTAATACTGGGGGGAGTTGTAGAAATTAATGGTAATGGATTATGCCTAAGAATAATAAAACAGTAAGGATTTTTCCTATTTCATTATTTGTGTATTTTATGAAATCACTAGGTGATATTTTGAAATCAGTAGGAAGTTTGCTTTTGACATTAATGGCAGTAGGTTTCACCCATTACATTCTACAGCTTTTTAAATCTAAAAGGAAAACAAAGAACATAAACTTGTTCTCATTTTTTATTATAACAGTCCCTCAGAAATTGCTAACCAACGTTATATTCCTGCATGTATCTCTTGGAAAAACAGTGGATGTATCTGCAGATGCAGGTTCACTGCAGGTTTTTGCGTCAGTTTTCAGTGCTTTTTGTGAATAGTGGTTTCATTTCGCTTTTCTCCGGGGTGTCAATGTGCCATTTATTAGACAAGTGTGATCCTTATATCCTCTTGGCAGAAGACATCATATTTCTATTGCTCATGTAAGACTCTAACTGTAACAACCTCCAGTATGCTCCTGAGACACTGTCCTCTATTTACAGTTTTTAAATGAGCTGACTTGAATTATTTTTTTTAATTTATTGTTGCGTTGTCAGCAGGTTAATTATCCCCTTCTCATTGTTGTCCATGCCACTGCAGTCATTTATTTTAAACAGTTGAGGTCATTTCGCTACTTACACAAAGCTTCTGAAGAAATCGTATTGTAGTATAAGCAGGGTTTCAGAAGCATTTAATCCTTCCTTTTGCAGTAGTTTCATCTATCTTTTTAATTTTATAATTCATGTCATCACTTTTGCAAGAGGTTAGTTGCTATTCTAACAGAGTATATTATTGCACTGTCTTGTCATCGTAAGTCTTGGTGCTGTCAGATGCTAATCTTCCTGTCCTGACAGCTTCCCACTATCTGAGATATTGACTGCATGTTTTATGTCCCAGTTATCTTTACATTAACTATACTATATGTATTGTTAAAGATCTGCACATATGTTTGTCTGGCATCTCTTGAGCTTACAGGAGAAAAATATGCCAAAGGGGAAAGTATTTCAGTGAGAATGGGTATATGTTTGTTATTAAATCAAATTTTAGTAATATGTCATTAGCTGTCTCAGCACATGCAAAACTTTTTTCTAACGGGAAATGTCCCAAAAGAGGGCTTCCTCACTTTGTTGCAGCCTCAATTCTTGTTCAACACTGGCTGTGTCTTCTATATTACACTGCCAAAATGTTTGATAGCAGAAAGGATTTTGTTTCAGTGTTTTATCTATTTTTGGCATAAAGTATTCTTTAAGTAGTATCATCCAGCCATTACAGGAAGCAGGTGTTTCCTCTGTTTACTATCCGTGCAAGGTAATATATTAAGTACACTCAGAATTACCTAGGATAGAAAGACAGACTGATGTTGGGGGAGAGTTTGCCTATGAGCCCCATAGGATGTGTGCCTGGTTGGTGGTGGTTTCACGGCTCTAGTCCCAGAAGACGGAGTAGCAAGGTTCCTGAACTGAGATAGATCATTACAGCACCTTTATAAGACCAGTCTTTTTGGATCCTAGACTTCAATTGTTAGTTTCTGTCCTTCTGATTTCCTGGTGAGTGATGAAAAAGGTGCATTTGTCTCTGTCAAGAGATGTCCTCCTACATAAATACAATTATATTGGGAAATTTCAGTGTATACTCAGTATAAATTGAATTTTAACCTACTGTGTTTTTTTTAATTGGCATAACGCATGGTCTTAGAAGTGACAGGGCTATTTTTTAAGCAAAGACTGAAATTTAATCGCATTTTAAGTTGCAGCTCCACACAATTTAAAAGTCTATAGCAGTTCCTCATACTGTTCTATCCAGCCAGGGTTTAATCAGTATTTCATTCTAAAACATAATTGAAAATAATTCTGCAATATGATTTGGGATACAGTTTATAGGGTTGTACATAAGTGTGTGTGTATATATACGTGTACATATATTTTCTATGTATGTATAAAATAATTCTTGGTAGAATGGTCATCTTTTTGTTCAGAAAGAATTTTTTTCCTCTTGCACAGAATTATTTTTGTCTGTATTGATCTTTTGGTTCTTGGAATTTTACTATCATAAACCTTAGCACTTTACACAGTTGTTATTCCAAGAGCTTTTACACTTGACATCTACTGTCACACAGGATTGGATCCTTCTTCCTCTTGTTCTACAGAACAATTCTAAACCACTGAATTTATAAAGTGGCAATTGATTCCAGAGGAAGTGAGTAATGTTGCAAATTCAAAATTACAACTTTATGCCTGGCTTAGTCAGTAGAAGAAACTGGATTCAAGAGGTCTGTGTGTTTTCGTACACGTACAAATATCAAACACTGAACAAAGAAAAAGTGGAGAGGACTGTCCAAGTTAATTTCTTTTTCTGTAAACGTCCTCTTTTCTTTTTGAAGCTTCTTACAGTGAGAAGGCTCCACTTTAATTATGGTGAGCTAGAATATAGTTCCTAATCAATCTGAAAGGCATAAAGCATCCCAGACACATAGGCTGCCAGCAGGAAGCCAAGCAGGTGTCAAACTGAGGTTCCTCTTAGAGTTAAGGAGATTATATGCTGCTGTAGAAGCCCACTGTGCAATTACTTCACATTCATAGTCACAGATTGCTACCGAAATCCTTCTATCTGATAGTATTTGATGAAGATTTAACATTTTGAATCACAGTGGACTAATACTGTTCAGAATGAATCTTGAATATTTTAACTGGATGAAATGCATCTGAGAATTTTTTGTCTCAATATGCTGTGCTTTTTTATCTTAAGAAAATCTCAGGCACTTTAAAAATGTGGTATTGAAAATTCTATATGCTGCTAGAGATGCTATAGAAGAATTCTAAAAAAAAAAAACCACCAAAAACCACAACAACTTTCCTTGGTGGTTTTGGCATGGTTTCTCACCATGAAGTATGTATTAGCTCTTTGAGGTATTCCACCAAAAAACACAACAACTTTCCTTGGTGGTTTTGGCAGTGTCTTTCTCATCATGAAGTATGTATTAGCTCTTTGAGGTATTGAGCAGTCCCATTGTCCTGGGCACTGAAAAGCATAAAATCACTGGCAATCACTTTGTCATTGTATTTGGAGATTAAAGGACAGGACCTAACAAATGAGGCAGACCTTGAGTCAGAAGATGAGGTAGCATCAGATAATGCAGCTAAACGGTATATCTAGCACAGATTAGCTCTGAATGAATTCTCAGCCAGTCATCTTTTTGTCAACCTGTAAGGTAAGGCCTTGATTTATCTTTCAGGTAGTAGTGATCTTGATTTTTAATATTGAATTACTTTTTGCATTCATTTTTAATTAAGATTTGCTATGATCTTGTAAGCTTCCAGGAATGCATAAAGAATATGATGTGCATTAGAAAACTCTACCTGGACTCCTGTGGTTGTTCTCTTTACTCCTGTCCTGCCACCTGAATGTCCTGATCCTGGCAGCACAAGCTTTTATCAATTTATCAATTTTCTAATGTAAAAAGCAGCATATAAGGATTTATGTGATGGTCTTGAGATGACTCAACTGTTGGCTTGGATCTCTGCAGCAGAAGGCTGTGGTTTCCATTTCCACCTCATGTACTAGGCTCATACCCAGTGCTTGGCACTGTATTTCAGTGGAAAGATGTCATCCTGAAGATGACACGATGAACTCAGCTCTATTGTTTCTCCATCTGGAGATGAAAACCCTGAGGAATACTTCAGAAAGAGCAGGAGTTTAGCTTAGGGCCCAGCCAAACCTTCCTGAAATCATTGCCGCGGCAACGTATGTGAGATGTTCAGTACATGACAACTGTGTTTCTGCCTGAAGAGTTTTTGCAGCATCACTGTCTATATCGTTTTCATCAGTGCTCTACATCTGTTGTGCCATTTGTAAAACATGCAGATTTCTATTAACAGAGCAGAAATGTTTCTTCTGTGCGAGTGGCAGTGATTGTAACAAGCCAGCTTTGCTGCTGCCGCCTCTTACTACCTCTGGAGAGGTGTATTCTGCCTGTTGCTGCAGCTGCATGGTGAAAAGCAGTTGTAGAAGTTACTGTGTGGCACCACTGGAGCATTTAAATGCATCTGCCAAGGGAAATGCTCTAGCTGATTGCATATTTTGCAGTGATATGGAGACAGAAATTCTTTGGTTATGGTGCATGATGGAGGCAGTCACAAGGGGCCAGTATTGACAGTTTATAAATGTCTTTACTAAAGGAACTTGATGTATATAGGGAAATTTGAAAATTTTTAGTTTGTTAATGTATTCTGCTTTTAGTCTGCACTTAAAAAAAAGTCTTTATTGCCCTGAAGTCTACATGGTGGATGTCAACTGTGTCTGTCCATCTAACTCCTTGCTATATTGTCAGCAAAGTATGGCACACTTCTAGTGTGTACCTAGACAAAACCAGCAGGGTTTTAATGTTTTCCTGGGACTACAGCTGACCAGTGTGCCAAACTTCTTCACTTACTCTAGCCTTCATAAAAACTCAATTTAAAATTATTTTCTTGGTAAATTAGACATTAGGCAAAGTTACAGTCAGTAGTGACATCTCATTGTACTACAAATATTCTGTGAATGGGTCGGTTGGGCTTTTTGGGCCTTGGTAGCTTTGTACAGTACAAAGTGAGTGATGACAGTGACACTGGGACTAGTGTCAAGTACCAGCCTTGATATTAGTGGAAAACTTGTGTGCTCCTCCCTTCATCACAAATCCAATTTTTTAAGAGCAACTAAAAATGCACTTTAAAGATGTATTGCGATGGCCAATTATCCCTAGGCAGGGGATACCAGGATCATACCAAGGATACCATCATGTTCTCAACCCCTACTATTCACAGGCTCCTGGTAGTCACTTTGGAGAATGGAATTTTTCTCTGTGTCTGAGCTCAGAAATAACTCTTGATGGAATTTTGTGAAAAATGAGTTCTGAAAAGCATGGACAAGTGAGGAAAAACTGTGATGTTTGGTATCATGAAGAACATCTTGCATCTTTACAGGTAGCATAAATGTTCAGTTAATACCATTTTTGTCCCTGCAATTCTCATGACATGAAACTCAGTTGAAAACCCCAAATTAAATTTGTTTTACATTCCACAGAAATAAGAGAGCAGTCATCTTCAAAAGAGTCTCATGTGTGAGCAAAGTTGCATATAAAATAGGCTGCTTTTAGGGAATTTAAGTAGTTTTCTTCTTCAAGAAAAATACAGCAGTTAGATGCTCTGCTACATTTCAGTGTGTTAAAACACAAGGATCTCTGCAGAGATCTGGAAAGAAGCCACTTTGGAACATGTTTTTTATCAACAGGGATTAGAAGGAATGATCAGAACAAATTTGAAGTTTTAATAAACAAACAAGTTTCCATCTTCATTGCTTATATTGCTGTTTTCCTCTGTTATGTTATGCAGGTATTACTAGACTGCAGGTAGCAGATGGGATTCTTGTTCTTCATTAGACTTTAATATCACTTCATATATATTTAAAATTTATAACAGGTCTTATGAATTCAAATGAGATGTTACAGTCCACAGATACAACTGCAATAACAGTTATACAGCTTTTAGAAAATAGCCAACCCCAGGTGTTGACTCATGAATATTTATGCACATCAGTCATCATGAAAGCAAAAAACAATTTGGACCTGTTCCTATTCCAAACAAAATGGATAAAAAAATAACCAATACTAGAAACTATCCTTTAAAAGACATCTGAGAAAAAAATCAAAATAATATTTCTTCCCCATCCCCATGTGTTTCTCCAAAAAATGAGATTGGGAAGAGGGATCAGAAAATGAAAACATGACACTTTTTTTTTTTTTTTTTAATTATTGAGAAGGTACATATTTTTCCTAAATTTGGAATATATTCTTGTCTGAAAACATGTAAACAAAACTCTTTTTTACACACAAAATTTTTAAATTGTGTCACAAAGTTTGAACTTAAGTGAATGTTCTTTGCATGCTAAATTTAATGAATTAAGGTAATTTTTATGATGCCTGTGGAAGTAAAAGCATACATAAAAACATTTCTTTGTCAGTAAAAATTTTATTTTAGTTTTATATAACTAGAATGCAGCCAAATGGATTTTTTTTACGTAAAAAAACCCCACTCATTCAAACCTGGAAAGTTTCTATTCTAAAATACAATTTTTGGAATGTTCTAGGGGAAATAAAAAAAAAAAAGAGTCAGCAATGGAAATGATATAGAAAGAAATACCTGGTAATGTATGAGCTGTAGGCGAGATTCTGATTTTGTTTACACCCTTGTAGATAAAAGGATATTTCTATAAAGTAACTAACATTTTTTGGGATTTATCTTGCAGCACTGAGTATCATGCACATGAATGTTTGACAGAGCAGAGGTGAGAAGTGGGAGTTTTTGTCCATTGAGAAAGCTGGGCAGTTTGACAGATCAGGAAAACAGGACCAAAACCAGACTTTATATGGAACTTATACTTTTACTCTTTCCTCATTTCTACGTTTTCCTCCTGAAAACAAAACTCCATGAACCAAGATGATGGTAAAAAGGAGAAAATGCTTGTGGCAATAAAAATGCGTGACACTACATAAAAATAAACAAGGTATATTTTATATCAATTTAGAATGTAAATAAAATCATGAAACATGATTAATTTTTTAGAAAGACACAAATCTGTTCTTTTTTTCTAGTGACTATGGACAATGGGGGAAGTTATGCAGAACTGGTGAACTGTGTTCTACTCCTGTTCCCAGTAGCCGTCATTTTTCCAGCCTTGGCAGGTAAGATGTTGAAGTGTTACAGACCTAACGATCAGCTCAGTCTGGGAAGCTGCCTCTGTCTGTCTGCAGAGTTTAAAGAACTGTGTTGAGTTACAGTATACAAGTGTGGTTGCCAGCGAAACTACAAAGGAGTAACTTCTTCATTTATTACAATATGACAGTTCTCTAGCAATGGAGAGGGAAAAAAGTTGGTTTCTTGATGTGATATTGCTATTACTTAGAAGCCCAGAGTTATGCACTAGGAACTTTGTATGCGGTTGGTTGTCTTTCAACTTTCTGACTTCTGCCAACTTCCAAAGCAAACTAGAGTCTCAGGAGCAATATTACTCGAGTAAAACACACAAACATAGGAAAAGTTTTGCAAATATGGCAAAAGTGATACTTCAGTTCACTGTGACTTCTCTGGAGCATTTATTATATGAGAGCGTTTGAATAACCATTATGTATTTGTGATAAAGGCTTTGAATCCCAAAAGATTTACAGAAAGCACTTAAGGATGTTATTTCATTATTTTTCCATTTAAAATATTTTACGCTTAATTAGATAACAGAAACAATTCTGACTTTGGTGTTTAAATTTTAAGCTGGGTACAGTCAGAGTAAAAAACTAGAACTTTGATGGAAACCAAATTAGCTTGGGAATTATTTGTAATGTGCCAAGAAATAATTGTTAAAGTTCTGCTTTAAAGGAAATGTAAGAGGACATAAATGAAAATTCTCTTCTGTTCTATGCTTGATCAGAGAAGAACATTAAGCAGACTGCCTGTGTAGCTATCATATAGTCAATTTTGCATTTTCTCTTATTTATTTTGTTAAATATATTTTCAATAAATTATGCAGATCTCTCTGGGAAGCATAGTGCTGCATGGGTAGAGAGAGGGCAATGCCAGGTGCCACACGGCATTGTCATGACTTTATTCAGTGTGACTGTGTAAGGAAGGGCAACCAGATTTCCTCTCACAGTCTCATGGCTGATAATCAGATGCAGGATTGGGACTGATTCCATGTTGAAGAAGGGGTTCATATCAGTGGGAATGAGTGGCAGAGAGGAGTTAGCTGTTTGCAACCTGAGATCATGACGGAGCCTCATCTGTCTTTGGATATCAGGGTAAAAGCAGGCAGTGGCAAACAGCATGGGGTGTCTTTGCATCACCAGGGAATGTATTTTGTATTTGCTTAGTTACTGTAACTGCTCACAGAAGTCTGCAGTATCTAGAGAAACAGCTTAGTGCATATTAATTTCTTGGAATTGCCCAAAACAAAGCAGAAAGTACAACCGGTTTTCTATGGACTCAGGCAATTAAGGCAAATTTAAATAGGTTAAAAATATCTATCTGTACTTATGCAGAGAAGGGATTAGGACAACATAACCTTGTTCAGCTCTATGTGAGGAAGTTTGGAGCTCTGTGTTGCATAATAATTAGAATTCCTACAGAAGTGATGCCTAGAGAGGAAAGATGCTTTCATTACCATCTTCTTATTAATTATCAACCAAATACGACATAAATGCACCATAAGAGAAGGAAAGGGTATGAGACATCAGTTGCTCTAGCACTTTGTTGCCATAAGGCACATCTTCAGTTACAGTTTCATGGCTCTGTCTTGCTGGGGTTGGTAAATTACGGTGCACAGGAGCAACAGGCTTGTGTGGAACCTAGTGAAATCTGGATCTTTTGGGGTAACTGAATGTGTGCCATGTTCAGATCAGCAATTCAGATGCAAGATAGTCCTCCTCCAGAGAGACCATAATGTTCTGTGTGAAAATCTAATTGAAACGTACCAGCAGTACATTTTGTCCCAACAGTGATGCTGGAGAGAGTGATGTGTTCTCTAGTCACCCAGCAGAGAGATACAAGTGAAGAAAAGCTTTACCCTGACCCCAGCAATGTTCTTTCACTCTGATGCAGAAAGGCCTCAAGTGGATCTGGAATATGTGGGTTGTTTTTTTTTTTGCAGCAGCAGTGTAACTGCAATTGAGGAAACATCAGTGTAGGCATGACAGCAGTGTGGGTGTTTCATGACTTCAGTCTATATTAGTGAGGTTGGAAAGCACTGCATGATTTGAAGATGAGAAATCAAAGTATTAGCAAACTGAAGGAGGAATCCCAACTCCTCCCAACTCCATTGCTGAACCTGGCAGCATTTGAGATGCCAACAGGGGTGATATTCTATATAACGTGACTATACCATTCATCACAGGGAAGCAGATTGCACACAGACAACAAAGCCATTGCCAGACCAGTTGCTACTGGCCTAGACCAGTGTGAAAAGCTGGCTGCTTCTGCTCCTTACACCACAGCCAGCCAGCTTTTCCAGACTGGGGGTTAAATCAGCGTCGCTGCCTGGTGAACGTTCGCACCGAAATAACGACACCCTGTCCAGCCTCCCTCCCCCCTCTCCATTATATCCTGCAAAAAACAAATAAGGTGGTGGTTTTCTGCCCCAGGAAATGATTGCTTTTGGCCAGGGGGATTGCAGGTGATGGTGGAGCTGATCCTGGGCCTGTCGCTCCCCCTCCTGGCTGGAACACACCGAGCCTCCCCCGGTCCTGCCGCAGGAGAGCTGCGAGCTGCCATCCTGTCCCCCGTGTTCCAAATGTTCCAGAGAAATGTGAACATTTGGTTTCGGTACAGCTTATTCTCCCCTAATGAACAGTACGTTTATTTCCATCTTCTCTCCCAGCCGGTTTTTCCCCTGGTCCTGCCTGATAGCAGCAGCAGGAAGCAGGAAGAAAATCAAAGCAGTGCTTTTGCCAGGCTTAAATGCAGTAATTCACCCTTATCTTATGTGCTGAATAAACACTCTGAAGAGTTTAATAATCGCCTGGTCACGTTCAGGGGGCTGCTTCAGCTTCAGCCCGACAGATCAGCAGTGCTTTCCTTACCCTCATCATCTTCTGATACCATCATCATCATCACCACCACTGTAGGCTCCTGCTTCAGGAGTGAATGTCTGCAAAGTATTTTGATGGCATTGATCTGTTTTGATCACACCTATGTTAATCTGTTCTTCCAGCACCTTGGCAGGCATACAGCCTTTAAAAGCAATTTCAAACCATCAGCCTTTAGAAGCTATTTCAAACTGTTAAATGTTGGATTATGGGAGTGTATAAAAAGTACAGCGAATCCAAGAGCATTGCGATAAGTGTGGTAGAGAAGTTTGTTGTTAAAACTTTCAACTGAAAAAGGAGTTGTTACTTTGTACATTATTTAAATGTATGTTTAAATTCAAAGGGCAATTAGATGTTTTTGGGGAAAAAAAAAAACGAACCCCATAAACTAGAACATTGAAATTAATATTAATTTAGTATGCATTCTTATCTGTGCTTTTACTCCTTAAGTGGAAACTAGGAGGTAAATTTATTTAAAGGGCAAAAAGTGACAGATACATAATTCTTGTGTTTAATGTTAAAGGCCAGACTGAAGAAGAGCACGTGAAAAGTGTACCAGGAGAGCACAGCAGCCTGCACAAGCCTATGGGAGGGGGGAAAAAGTTACAGAGGGAGGAAAATTACAGAAAAATGTGGACCCCAAGAGAGTACCTCTGAACAAACTGCGGCAAATAAAGGCAAGTCAAAGAAAACCATTCCAAAAAAGTAATGTTTAGATATTTTAGCTTTCCTGTCAGCAACTGATGTTTATGTTACTTGATATGTAGAAATTATAAAATTTCCTTATTTATTTGACCATTTATCCAGTTTATATCCCAGCATGTTTTGATATGAACTTTAGATACTACTGGTGAACAAAAGAAGAGTATCAATATAATAACTTACATTTGCCTTACGGATTTATTTCTCTCCCTCTCTTTTCACAATGACATGGAGCTAGTACTTTAAATATCTTGGGCTCCAAAATAAAAGATGATTTATTTCTATGTCAAGATAGTGAGAGATTTAGATGTGAAGTAATATGTTGCTGTGCTTTACAGTTAATACCAGTTTTCTGGTTCTTCTTAATATTTTTTCTGCTCATGATCACCTCTGCATGCCAGTTAGAAAATACAGAAGCATCATAAAGACTAAGTTTTAGAGAATAATAGTATATTAGATAGTGGAAGCCACAAAACCACTGCCAGGCTCTGAATGTCTCCCTCCAGAGCTGTTCTGTGGTTCTGACTAAGCTGATTGAGCTGATTCTAGGTCAGCGGATGAGAGATGCCTTCTGGGTGATATCAGATTCTCTCTCCTTTTTACAGCCACCCTATGTTTTTTCTGTCCACATCACATGAAAGTACATTTGTACACACATTTATTGTGCTCAACACAAATGAAGATAGAAATACTTTCCATAGAATTTTAGATAATTGTCTATAAGAGCAAGAAAATGACGTGGGTTTTGGATGAATACTGTACTGTACATTATTTAAATGTATGATTCCATTGTTGTTATCAGAATATTTTTATTTCTTAGTTGTCTTTTGAAAGTGTTCTTGGTGAAAAATCAAGGATGATTAAAAGAACAGATCAGAGCAAGCATATTTTTCCAGGATAAAGTAATCCACAGTCCTTTGATAGAGTTTGTTAGTACACATGTACATATAATTTTGGATGCAAAGATATTCAGGTGTGCTTCCCTTCAGTTTTATGCGTACATCAGTTTTCTAGTTTGATTTATTGCTTTTATTAAATACCATGCACTAAGTAGTAGATAATGACTTTGTTATCGAAGTGACTAGAATAATTGCTAAAATTTGGTAGCAGTACCATTTCTTTCCTTACCTATCCCAAATTAAATTCAAATTCTATTTTTGTGACACAAGCAACAATGTGTGATAACTGTGTAGTAATTTAAACTACAACCTCTTTAATCTCATTTAGATGCATCTAAAGAAGACAGTTTGAGTTACAAATTTGTTTTTTAATATTGGAAGTAATGCTTGTAGACAGAAACTAAATTATTCTGAAATACCTTTGACTATTTGAATACTGGGCTTTCCAGTTGCCCAGTATGCTGTTGTGATGGCATGAGCCCCAGTCTGGGCTGCCTATGTCTTCCTGGCATCAGCACTGGATGGGTATAACTAGTTAATCCCTAAAAGCTTTCCCTGTACCAGACTAACTAGGTTAAAATGAGGCTGAGGTTATCTACAGCATGATTGCAGTGTGCTTTGCCCAAGGTCCCAGTCTAGTCTGCTCTAACTCCTCACAAGTGGTGCGACATACTGCTCTCTCCTTGGGACTTGTTATAGAGACAGATGAGTTTCCTGCATTGCTGTTATTTATACTGAAAACGTACACACAGGTTAATAGATTTTAGAAATGATTTCTTTCTCATTTCCCTCCCAGATGTAAATGAAATGGTTAAGCATAAGTAGTGTGATAAAGTCCACATTACATTTTCTTTAGAGAATTCAGCAAGAGACTATTAATTTTAAGAGATCTAATTCAATAGGTCTCTTCATTAACTTCTAATGTAACCGACTAATCTTTGCACTTTTTTTAACCCAAAATATAGCTTTAAAGGACTGTTCATTTATATGCATTTCATCATAGCTTCTCAGAGGTCAAAATAGCATGCAGATACTACCCATATCTTAAATATTTTGGGAACAAAACACTTATTAAGAGTGGCTAGCTCTATCAGGGTAGATATAAATGGGTAATTAGGGAAGAAATGGAAGTTGAGACGCTCGCTCTGGTTTGGTGTACCTCTTTCAGTTGCTGGTAAAATTGCATTCTTAAATACTTTCACAACTTTAATGTATCCTTATGTGATGTTACTTTAAATAAATGATTCTCATGTACATCTGGCAATTTCCAAAGTCCAAGAGAAGCATGGATGAAGACTGATTCTTAATTGCATGGAACTTCTTTAAGCCTATACAAAGCTGAATCAAGGACACACCTCCATATTGGTCATCTGGAGAGAGCTCATTAAAAGAGTGAGTGAAAAGGAAGATACTTTATCTTAACAGTCTAATAACACTAGGGGGGACACTACAGTAAATTAGAAGTTCCCACCTTCTGATTCCATGGAATAAAGAACTGGAATTGAGAAGGCTTTTGATACATTGAAGCTCCCCTACTGAGGAGAACCACAACTGATACATAACATGTAGTTTTAGGAAAGAGCTAACTATAAAATATTAGAATAGCTAGCATAAACAGCTGGCTCAAATGTTTTGCAGGTGTAAAGGGTTCCTTCATTCATATGCTGTGTAATCTTGGTGTATAAATACAGCCTTAGCATATGTGCATCTTTTCATTATCACCACTCACTTATACTATTGGTACCTATTATGCTTTGTATGGTTTTTATCCTCTATAATCCTTTTATTCTCTCTGTGACTTTGCAAATGTACTCCATAATGCTTTGAAGATTAATCCCATAATTAAAGGACATAGTTAAATAATGAAATTCTGGCTTGCTTATGCTGAAGTGGCATGTACAATCTTCAGCCATTAAAGTACGTCTAAAAGCATATTTTACTTGAAGTAACAAAGTACAAGCTAATATTTTCAAAAGAAGGACTTACAGCTGCTGATGCATACAGGTAAGCATGAATATCATATCGTATATTATGCTTTGGCTGGAATATACTTCACTTAAGACCTAATGTTTAATTCATCTCTACTATTGTCATATTACAGTAGAAACACCTTTTCTGTTTATTAAATAGAAAAGACTTAATTTTAGCAGTATACCAGGGTAACAACCACTGATTGAAGAGGCAGTGATATGTGCTGAATCAAAATCTAAATAACCTACAGCACAAATTACTCCAATTCCCATTTGATGCCTTGTCTGCCTATAGATAAGCAGGTCATAAGCTCATTCAAGTGGAGTCCTGTTTCTTCAGTTCCCAATTTGTTCTGATAGCTGCCTTCATTTGAGAAAGCTGTCCCACATCTCCTGCCATAACAAAGTCATCCCGCTGGCTGAACAATAATAGACTAAGCGATCCTGCCTGCTGCCAGAATTCAGCAAGGCACAGATGGAAGTTACAGTCATCAGATGTTTGAGCAGCAGAATACCCTGTTTCTAGTCATTTGTACTGAAGGGTTTCACCTGGGGGATTACTTTATCCACTTGATCTCTTCAGTTTTGGCTTGAAATAGAACCCTGGTGATGACTTTTTATAGATAATGGTCCATCAGATATCACTAGGGCTTCCCTTAACTTGCAGCCATGGGGAAAAAAAATGACGTGTTAAGATGAAAATATGAATTCTGTCCTTTTTTAGATAAAAAGCTGCAACTGATAGAGTGTTACAGAAGTACCAAGCGAAATTCTGTCTGTCCTGTAAGTAAAACCCTGTGACTAGAACTGACTGAGTCATAACAAATATTTCACTAACTGCCAAATTACCTGTAGGAAGCGTGACCTTGTTGGGTAACTGAGCACATGTAATTTTGAATAAAGTCATCAATATCATGTGCATTACTTGAAGAAGGTTGAACTCAAAAAAAGCCCTGTGCAAGCTATGTGAACTGTCATCCATAAATATCTCTGTCTGTCTCTCTTGTTCTCTGCCTGGAAGAAAGAGCAATCTTTTAGTTGCCCTATGTGATCTTTCTGCGTTTGGCAATCTCTGCTGCAAGGGAAAATAAAGAATCAAAAAGCAGTGTCCTTTCCTTGGAACAGGTAGCAACAATCCTGTAATCACTATTTGAAATCTATTGGTAACTGGAAATAGGAATTTGATCATCTTTCTCTTAGATTTTAAGAAAAGGTGCTGGACTGCCTAGGTTAACTCTTGATACTTGTGTTTGTCCTCCTGTGTTCCCTCTGAATTTTTTTTTTTTAAATAATTCTTGTTTCAACTTTCTCAGTTCCTAATTACTACTCTCAGTAGGGTCAGGTTGTAGGTTGGTTTCTTATTTGGAAAGGTATAGATTTATGATTTTTTAAAGGCTTTCAGAGGCTGAAAAGTATAGAAACATATCCAGCAGGGACATATTTGACCAGAACAGTGCTGAAGTCTGTTCTTAAGGGTCAGCCCTTGTGATATCCCAGAGTAATGAGATTCTGTTAAAGTATAAGCCTTCTAGCAACTTAATTAAATATCTATATACATGTGTGTATATATCACTATATATATATATATACTCTTGTTTCAACTTTCTCAGTTCCTAATTACTACTCTCAGCAGGGTCAGGTTGTAGGTTGGTTTCTTATTTGGAAAGGTATAGATTTATGATTTTTTAAAGGCTTTCAGAGGCTGAAAAGTATAGAAACATATCCAGCAGGGACATATTTGACCAGAACAGTGCTGAAGTCTGTTCTTAAGGGTCAGCCCTTGTGATATCCCAGAGTAATGAGATTCTGTTAAAGTATAAGCCTTCTAGCAACTTAATTAAATATCTATATACATGTGTGTATATATCACTATATATATATATATATATGCATCATTTTTACCTTTTCTTAGTCTCTTCATCCTTTAGCAGCCTCTTCAATCCCAGAAAGAGGGTAGCCACAAAAGAACTAGAGTAAATGGAGAAGAGCAAAAACACATCTATTGAAGTACATTGTATTGAGGACAATTGAGTGCCATTCCTGCTTATTGTAAACTGGCACAGCTGAGAAACCAAAGCTCCTGTCACTTAATCCATAGTG